ACCCAAAGACCCAGTCTGCTCTTGAATAGGGAGCCAGGAAGGGAAGGGAGATGAGCAGCAGAAGATCTGCCACGGCCAGGTTCAGGAGGCAGATGTCAGTGATACTAAGCAGCTTCACAGACATCAGGATGACCCACATGACGAGGCCATTGCTGGTCACCCCAAACACGAAGAGCAGGGAATAAAACACAGGCAGGAACACAGCGCCGTGTCTCTCATACTTGCATGGTCCAAAACCCTCCAAGTCATAGGTGTAATCATTGGTGGAACTGTGGTTACTGTAAAATATAATACAAAAGAATTAACGGATTTGGTACAACTCAAAATGTAAAATTCAAGCAAAATCTGATTTGACTTGAAATAAAAATAAATTGTTGATCAATACCATAAAAACTTAACAAGAAATGCCTCTCGATTTAATATCAAGGACCCAATAAGGAATAGGGTCCTTGTCTTCAGAACAGATTCATTCCTTCGAGGAGTGTTGTGATGGACGTCCTCAGCAGTGTGTGTTGGGCTATTAGACCAGTTTTCACAAAGAAAACCCTTCAGGTTTTTAGAGTAGATAGACATCTACCTCAGACACAGCGCTCCAGGACCTCCCAGGAAGGTTTATCGAAGATTACATTTGGCCATAGTGCCATTTAATAACTGCACACACATGCATGTTAACATCCCCATTTCTTCCACATGCAGCTGCTTTTCCTGTGATCCCTTCACCACCCATGTCTCTGCTCCGTACATCATTGCTGTCTCACCACTAATATAGAAACCTTGCCTTTTATCCTTATCTTGATTCCCCAATCCTATAATTCTCTTGATACCTTCTTCCAATTGTTCCAGCCTCACTGCACCCAACGGCTTATCTCTGCATGCAGTATCCACCTTAGGCAACTACTGATCCTAGGTATTTAAATTTACCAACTCTTTTCAACGACTTAGAATAACTTCCGAATCCTGATTATAAATAAACCTCAAATATTCTGTTTGGTGCTACACAACACAACGTCATAAGCAAACCGCATGCACCAGGGAGACGGGTCATTCATCCCAAAAGTCAAGACATCTATGACCGAATTAAAGAAGAAAGAGCTTAAAGAGGATTCCTGATGGAGCCCAGTTCTAACTGGAAACTCTGTTACTCCGACACTCTCTCCTACATGTCCTAGACAATACTCACATACTTTTCCTCCAGACCTCTTGACACAGCCTTCCCCAAATAAATACCATATACAGGCTTCTCTGTTTTTCCAGATGCTTCTGCATGAGTTGTCATACAGCAAAAATAAATCAAGCTGTTCCTTTGCCCCTATCATAGAACCAACTGCCCCGTCCCTATTGTGATCTCTACCCTTTTCCCAGATCTTCATCGCGTGTGACATCAGCTTTATCCCTATATAGATTGCAGAGTTCTGAATGTCTCCCTTCTCCTTATAAAGGGGTATAATCACACTTCCTCTCCTTTGATATTTTTTCCTGCTCATAGATCTCCTGCATCAGATCCCACAACACATCTACTCCCTTTTCCCCTAAAATCTTCCTGACTTCCACTGGTATTTCATGGGGTCCTGTTGAGACTCTTCGTTCTTTTTCGGGCCTGTTTTTGCTTCCTCCCTCCTCATTCCTGGTACTAGCCCTCCATTTGGACGACATCCCTAAAGGCTTCCCTTGAATTTTCTTAATTCAGCAGCTTTTCGGTACGCCTTCCATCTACTCTTCATGCTATTATGCTCACAGACCACATCTTGCTCATCTTTCACCTGCTTTATCTGTTAAGATAGGACATCATGAAGGAGGAACGATCCATGTAGCAACTCCCAACAAAAGAGGTTTATTAAGGAAACAGGACACAAATGGAGAACCAGAAAATAAAGGGACCATGACCGCAAAAAAACAGGTAATCCAAGAACTATACTAATCACTAATAAAACGAACACTAAAATTATAGCTAATAAATGTACGGACCAAGGAAGCAGTGTGACACGGAATGACACAGGAACTAACTGAACACAATCAGGAAACTGGGAGCAAGACTGGGAGACAGACTAAGGATACCCAACTGGGTATCCAACTAAGGAACAGACCAAAGACAGACACTTAAACACACTGACAACAAGGCTAACAAGGGGCAGGCAAGGTCGATTAGGAACTAGGGGCATAGAGGATCAGTCAATAAAGAGACACACAAAAGGTTCAAACACTCAGGGAAAGTAAAACAAGAAGAACTGATCAAACAAGGAACTGAAATACACCTGGTGAACTAAGAGAACACAAAACAACAATAGTTAAATTACTCGTGAAGCCCACAGCAGAAGGGGAAGTCAGAATGGTGGCCGACCTCTTTGCCCATTAAGCCACACAGCAGCCCTGGGAAACACAAAGCAAGATGGCCAGTGAGAACTGCTGAGCCAATGGAGAGAAGGCGCACGGGACAGGGCCAGATGGGGACCCATCCGGACATTATCTGACTAAAGTTTTCCAAATCATTCTTGCTTCTCGTCTCAAATTTTCATTCACTTCCTCCCAAGCTTGTGTATTGGCTCCTGCCGCTTTCCTTCTTTACCTGCCTATATATTTCTCTGAATAATCTACATTTTTTAGACCTGATGAAATGGAGAATGAAATTAATTTGTGTAATTTGTAAAACTGGGAATTTTCACCAAATGATAGCTAAACCCTGACCTTACAAACTACGTATTTAGTTGCTTTGTAAAGATTATTTTTTTCTACTTGAATACTGTATATGTCCCTTTTCAAGAGTCACTAGATTATAAAAAACAGGTTTGTAGTGCAATGTTTGTTTTTAAATGCAATTGTAATGAAAAGTGACAGACAATTGTACATACCTTCTCATACTCTCATTGGTAAAGCTGTTGATATCCATGGTCTGTATTTCCTGTGGAAATGTCAGGAAGGCAAAGCCAACTATCTTTCGATGAAACAAATATAGCACAAGTTTGGTGATATGTTCTTATTTTAGCTTGGTACTTACACCAGTGTATGCTGTACAGGTCTACAGATAATAGTTTGTAAGAACTGATCACACATTTATGTGATGGGGGTGGTTATATTTATGTAAATTTAAAGGGGGAGTGTAACAGGCAAGAATGTGCTGTCTCACTTTTTTGCAATACATCTGCCCCCTCCTGGTCTGGTGGAATATCATTGCTGTACACAGAAAAGTGAAGCATAAACTGGGCTTAACGCACCAATATTAATGTTGCTAGATGGTGATGTCATTATACACAATTAACCGCAAAAATGCAACTAATAAAATTTTGTTTCAACCCCTTTTTATGAATTATTATCAATTAATTGTTGCAGCCCTATAATTTTTTAATTCTAACTA